GAGGTCTGGCTTTCAGCTTGTGATTTTGACTGATCCTCATTGACCAACTTAAACCGATATGAATCCTTCCATTCAACATCTAGAATGTAATTGATCATTCCATTGATGAGAGTTGACTTTCCAGCCCCAGTTGCTCCAAGAACCATTATGGTGCGACTATGTTTAAAGGAGGTTTTTCCAAAACTGAAACGCCTGCAACCAGTGATATTAATTTGTTCTATATTCAGGGGAATTTTATAAACAGAAAGAGGACCTGTTTGTGGTTCCAACATTGAGCTTTTTTCTTTAACAGCATCAGCAAGCCGTTGAAATAACTTTTGCCCCTCTAAATTATTAGCGTTTGGTTGTAAATTAACAGGAGGTAAAGTCTTGGCTGGCTCCTTGTTTTCAGTTTCAGTGTTTGATTTTGATTGTTTAAAAGGTGATGAAATTACGCCCCAAACTGACTTCAATATAGTTGTCATTATGGTGAAGGGAACTAATTATGGCAGTACTAATAAAGTTATAATCAGTTGGTACCGGGGCCAGCCTGCTTGATAGATATTTTTAATGAGCAAATAAAATAACTATTTTTGGTCAACGGAGTTCATCCATCTTGCTGGTGAGTGTATGTTCTTCCTGTTGTGTGCTCTCTGGTCCAAATCTGCATACACTGAAATATAGAAAATACACACTAATTCAACCCACAGTTGCAGCTACTGTGACAGAGTACCATGCTGTGTTATTATTGTCTCTAGTTTATAGTTGTGCAACAGCTGCTGTCTTGGTGGATGGTAAAATCAATTTGGAAATTTGAGTCAGTTCACTTTTAGAGTTTGGACCAATTTAACAAGCACAGGTTCTGCAGCATCTAACCAGTCCAGTAAAATACTAGAAGTAAGTATTAAAGCAAAAAAAAACTTTTTCTACCTTAAAATAACAGCTTCACTGTCATTTTATGATGATGATGCTACAGTGACTTTAATAGGGTGAATGGTCTCTGTGTGCTTCTTTCATATTAAATGTGTAATGCTTTACAGCAATGAAGTCTCACACCACCAACTATGTCACTGATTTTGGTGAAACTGGATTATATTTAAGGAGAAAATGTTTTCTGGTTTTCTCTCTGATGTCCTCCAGCTGCTCTGCCTCAACTCTGTGATTTACAGAGTTTTCTGACTGACAGTAAAGTAACTGCTGCAAAATGTAGCTGCTGTAGCTCAGGTCATGCTGCCCTGGATGCTCTGTACTGGGTGCTGAGAGCACAGGCACAGTGTTGGTATTTACAATAGCAGCACAGGAGCCTTGGACAACTGGGATTAGGAATTCAAGACACAAGAGTAAATGTGGGACTGACTTGTAGTCATTAGCGAGAGCTTTTTGAAATAAAAAGCTGCAGACAGACTGCCTTCATGCTGTTGGACTAGTTAGTTATATTAGCCGTTTACTATGTCTTGTGTTGTTGCACTTCCTCGATGTTTTGCTGTTTGAGCAAAATTGTATCATAAGTACTGTAATTGTTACAAATGTACAGGTGTCCATATTTACCACAATGGGATTGCAACAAGGGCCTACAAATACAACAACAAATACCAAATCTTAGATAGTGTTGCATAATATAACAAATAAAGCTGCTGAAGATGCATAACCACAAACCTCTGTTGATAGTTGTCAGCCAAGTGTCGTGATTTTCAAAATTCGTACTCAGGATGTCCAGCTCCTAAAACACAAAGATAACAAAGTGCCTTTAAAAACATATGTGTTTAATAATTTTATTTTAAGACACATTTGTCATTGTGTTCATTTTTAGGATCATTAATATATTGAAAACAATAATCTATCAAACATTTACCTCATGTATCATCTGTTAACAGGGATTGCAGAGGAAGATATAACTGAGGGAGTAAAGAAGTCTGATGTTCCTCAATGTCTTCTGATGTAAAAAACAGAAAACTGTGTGGAGTCACAGTTGTTCAGTCTAGAAAAAGGATGAAGATTTATTTGTTTGACAGTAAGGTATCCAGTGATGAGTTAGCCTGACTTTGATGTTGGGACAACTTACAATTAATATGTTAATGTTACATGATGTAACTGTAATCTTATGAATCTTATGAATTTTCACCAATATGGCGAATATCACCTTGTTGTTTTAACATTTGATGACATTTTGCAGAGGCTAAACAGGCTCAACAAATTATGAAACTTGGCACACACGTCTCACATGGCTGCATTATACATTTCATCTGGGTGTTGTCTGTGGGTGTGTCAAAATGGCTCGATAGCGCCCCCATACAAACTTTCAAAAAACCAGCCCCGGTGTCCTGTTTGGCGGACATGAATCAAAATTGGCAGATATATTTATCATTTCAGGACGTACAAAAAAGCCTCTGGAGCCATATCCTAAACCCAACAGGAAGTCAACCATTTTTAAATTAATGTTAATTCCTGGCACCATTTGCAGTATTTTAATGAACTCTTCCTAGAGAACTGATCACAACAACTTAAAAATTGATGAGCACATTCTAAAGGCCTCCAGGATTTAAAGTTTTGTGTCTCATGAATATTAATTGAACTTCTGTGGTGTGGCGTGAAATATGACATTTCGGCATGATATAGGCATTGTTGTCAAAAAAAAAGGGATGTACAAAAAAGTCTCCTTGAGCCATATGCTAAATCCAACCAGTCGGCCATTATGAATTTAATGTCAATTTCAGTGTCAACTGCAGTACAGATTCTTCATTTGGAACCAATCATCTCAAGTTTGTTAAGAGCCCTGGCATAAATGCATCTAAGTGCCAATATTCACTCGCTGTCATAGCGCCACCGACTGACAAGGTGAAGTGAGCTTTGTATGGCGATTGTGATGTGATTTCTATGTAATTTTCATAGCTTGATGTTGGCATGATGTACTTGTGCGTAACCCAACCATGGCACCCCAACGTGTGTGGGGTGCGAGGGCCCGTTCATCGCTGCTTGCAGATTTAATTAGGAGCCGAGCACTGACTGTGCGAAGGCCTTATTGTATCTATAAGGGTTATTATTATTTTAGTACCAAATTAATCGCATTTTTGGAGGCTTTCCCGTGCTCGGGGTTAGGGTTAGGGTAAGGTAAAACTCAAAAAACACGTCTGTTGGGGCTGAAAATTTTATATTTTATGGGTCTCCACTATGAGCATGGCAAAATGGCCCCTCAGGGGCCCATAAACTGAACCCCCAGAGGCCGGTTTCACCGATTTGCATAAAATCGGTTCACACGTAGATCTTATCGTGACGTACAAAAAAATCCAGTCCGAGCCATATCGCAAACCCAACAGGAAGTCGGGCATTTTGGATTTATTATCCATTTCTGGCAATTTAAACACGTTATATTTTAACAAACTTATCGGATCAACTTCAAATTTGGTCAGTCGACTCTAAACACAATCGTGATTAAAAGTTGTGCTATTTGTGACTTTTTGTCAGAGGGCGTGTCCGTGGCATGGTGCCAAGTTTTGACGTTTAGCCATGAAATAGGAAGTTGTCATAACTTCAGTGTACTTTGTCTGATCTGCACCATAATGCACATGTTTGATAAGAGTCCCGCCTTGAACAAATCTATGTGATAATATTCAGTAATAGTGATAGCGCCGTGGTGAAAGGAGTTTTTTTTTATATACTTCCATGTTCTACTCCTAGCAGGATGATCAGATCTAGCTGAAATTTGGTCATAAAAAACATGTTGTTAATGATATTTCATGATTATGGTGACGTCAAATTTTGATGTACCGCCAGAACACACAAATTTGCTATAACTTGAGTGGACTTGAGTGCCTGTGCACGATTTCAAATGGATACGTCAAGTTTTGCCCTGTTTTAATTTTGTGCAAAGTTTCGGGAGCTTTCAAGCATGGGAAAGTGTCCAAAGATGTGATTAGAGGGGCAAAAAAATAATAATGGAGAATTCCTACAATTACAATAGGGCCTTCCCACGATTTCTACTCGGGCCCTATTGATGGGTATCGGCGTCAATCAAGGCATTTTTTAACTGATCACATCGACTGTACTAAGCTTTATTGACCCGATCCAATCTTGTGTTATACGTCAGCTGTCACACAGCTGTTTTTACTCGCTAAGCTTTCATGCATGGTGCAGCCACTGCAGAGTTTTACTGTCTGTCCCTGCTTGGAGGGGAGAAAGCAGCAGAGAGCTGATACACTTAACAAGCCACCGCAAGTGCAAAAAAAAAAACGTGCTAAGAAAATGCCAGTTAGTCATTTATTAATGTAATCTGTGCAAAAGATGTACAGTGGAAAATACACTCAGCAGAATAGGCTACAGTTTATTCAGGTAATTCAGGTAGAGACTGCACTGAAGCAACAAACACTGGAGAGACAAACTCCCTCCAGACAGCAACAAGACCAAAAGGATTACAGAGGGTTTGTTATTTTATACTTTACTGTGTAAATAAAATAAAGCATTAAGGTACAGCTTTGATGCAGGCTTTTTTTCTACTTATGCAATGCAATCTCAAGCACAAACATTGGATTGATTTTAATTATAATTTGTACTTGAAGTGTGTACTGTATTATCTGGCAGATACTCAATATTAAACAACTTGGATTGGATCGAAGCAAGAAAACATTTATCCGACATCTCTAAGTATATACATTAAGCTGTTGAATTGATGATGGCGTTAGATGTAGTTATACACATCACATGGCTATTGTAAATCAGTATTTATGATGCACAGCAACTCCAAACCATACATTTATTGAAACAGCTCAGTTTTGATCCAAAAAGAAAAAAGAAAATCAGAACCCAACTGGAACTGAAACATTGCCTGTTTTTAACACAATCTATGAAAAATTTCAACATTTCTCGAGATGTTTCAGTCTGGACCAAAGCGATGAACTAACTGAACAACTGACTGAAACAGCAATCATGTTCATTGAAACTGCATTTGCAGTCTTTGGTTAAACAACCAGAAACTGCAGGACTCTGATTACTCAGCAAAAATACACAGCAGAACTGGTGCATACAATAGTACATTAACAAAAAGAGCATAAGTGTACTTACAGTAGAAATGTGTGTGATCCTCTGAGGCAGTGCTGTAGTTTCACACATTATATCTCTCTGAGAGAGTAACGCCCCCTGATATTTATTCATTAATAGGAGGGGGCACAGAGGAGAACCAGGCTGATTTCCCAGAAATCACCTGACCTGCAGAAGGAAATAATCTGTGATAATGATCTGCTTATATGGTTTCTTCACTCAGCTCAGATTGGCTCCAATCTCCCACTATCCTTTTTCTTTCACTTTCAGGTTTGCACACCGGGGCTTCTGAGAAATGTTTTCACTAAGAAGTATTGAACCTGGTTTCTGTTTCTGTTTATCTCAACACTTTCCTCTTTAAACTTTGGCTCGTTATTTTTCAGTCACATTGCTCTACTTTCGATCCATTTCCTTTTTTTATTCTTTCCACCAGCAAACTCAAACACAAAGCAAAGCCAGCACCCAAATGGGTATGTGGTGTGTGTGCTGCTCGTGTGTACACGTATAGTATAAAATAAGCTTACAGGGGGTTAAAGGTGAAGGTGAGGAGCCTGTCGCTCTCATCCTGATCAGGACAAACTGAGCAGGTAAGTTCTGGCTGAAACACACTGGATGTTTTTTTTAGTTCCTAATGTCATTTCAGGTGATGCCTGAAGGATGCAGAAACATACTGGCATGGATTTTTGGGCAGGTTTCTACAATTAGTTATGTACGGGCGCCCCCGGAGGCACAGGGATCATGCAAAGGCCTATCTGTAATTTTCAAGGAGATTATTATTAGGGCGCCCAAGCACAAATCGGTGCAAAGGGCGCCGTAACTATAGGGGGGTGGGACGATAGTCTATTGCGGGCGCGAAAACAGAATAAGCGTCATCCAATAAAGGTCTGATACCAGAGAATAGCCCCCGAGTAAACTATATAATTTTGTCAGGCATGCAGTGCCCCGCCTTCTCACTATGGAGACCTGGAAACGGGCCTTGCACGGTGAATTGCTGCTTTCAAGGACGTTGGTGTAATCAGAAGAAAGCCTTTCTGACTGGGGCGGAAAAATTCCAAGGAATACCCTCATGGTTTTTGGGGAAAGAATCATTAACTTGCGGTTCATAATTTTGGTAGTTGGGCTGACTTGAATTGATATTCCACGAGTGTTTGTTCCATCATGTTACCACATAAAACCAATAGAAACATGAGAACTTGTAAAAAGCCCGAAGAATCGACTTAGCAAACGTGGGGGAAGCAGGATCCAACGTGAAATGCAGACAACATCCGCGTCGATTGTGGGTTGGGACCTTTTCAAATTTTGCTGGCATGGAAGACAGGGTCGCTTGGTTAATTTGGCTAACAAATGTTCCAAGCAATTCCACAGGAGAGGTAAAAAGTTAGCCCACAAGCTTCAGACTACCTCAAACCTGCATTAAGTCACGCCTGGAAAACATAGCCATCGCTTAACGGATCTCGGCGTCTCTCTCTCTCTCTGCGATTAAAAGCAAGTCTGAACCTCATCTTACTTTAGGAAAAGGCTGATTCATCTTTGAACGTGGCAACCATAAGCCAAAAATCATTTAAAAGTAAGTTTTTTGCTTATATGGAATCACCGTCCGTTACGGCCGGCACGGGTGGGCACGGTTCAGTTGCTGTTCAGCTTAATCTTTCTTCTATTGTCTTATTAGTTAGGGAATCCTAAATCATCTGATAAGTAGACAATGGGACTGAAAGGTGTTAAGAGGAAGTTCTTTTTAGAAGAGGGGAATGGTTTGAGATAAACAGGAAACAGAAACCAGGTTCGAATTACTTCTTGTAGGGTGGAAAACACATTTTCTAGGGAAGACGGTGGTCCGAAACCCTGAAAGTGAAAGCACAAAAGGATAGTGGAGATTTGAGGCAAACTGGCTTAGTGAAGAACACGTGTTATAGGCCAGATCATATCACAGGATTACCTTCCTTCCGCGGTCAGGCCTGGCCTGGGTGTTTCCTGGAAATCAGCCTGGTTCCGTCCTCGTGTGGCCCCGCTTCCGTATTAATGGATAACTTATCAGCCGGGCGTTCACGCTCTCTCCAGGGAGAGATTGATAAATGGGGTGTGGAAAAACTGACAGCACGTCCTGCACTGAGGGATCCCACACACATGTTCTACTGTAAGTACAGCTTATTGCGCCTCTTTCCCTGTTAATTACTATGGTATGCACCAGTTCTGTGCTGTTATTTTTGCTGAGTAATCAGAGCCTTGCAGTTTGTTCTTGGTTTGTTGTAA